GAAGGCTGTTCTAATTTCTTCGTGCCTTAATCAGCTATTCCCCAACCCAAGGGTCGGGATCAGACGAATTTAGTTGGAAGTTGTTGAACAAGCAGGATACAACGCTCTTTTAGTGGAGTCCGATGATAGCAATGCTCAACTTGAATCCCTCGCAAGACAAAGGAAATACACGAGTGGCGGAAGGCGTTTTGGTTCTCGTTTTCCTTCGCAGTTCCCGTGATGGTGATTAGCATGCTTCTTCCGATGTATCTTCCTGCAATCGACATCGGAAACTTCGAGCTCATACCTGGCTTATTTTCTGGTGAAATCATCTGCTTGCTTCTTACCATTCCTGTTCAATTTGGTGTCGGGAAGCGGTTTTATATCGCGTCATTCAAATCCCTCAAACACGGCTCCCCGACAATGGATGTTTTGGTCATGCTTGGTACCTCCGCTGCATTCTTTTTCAGTATTCTCGCAATGTTAGTCTCGATATTCTTCAAGCCCCATTCTCGGCCAATGACCGTGTTTGAGACCAGCACTATGCTTATCACATTTATTTCCCTCGGTCGGTGGCTGGAAAATCGAGCTAAGGGCCAAACATCCCGAGCACTATCTCGTTTGATGTCCCTTGCTCCTTCTATGGCAACTATATACGATGACCCCATAGCCGTCGAAATGTTAGCTGAAAGCTGGGGTTCTGTACCGCTTTCGGCTGAGAAGGATAAGACTATTGCTGCAGTTTCGACTGTTCAGAAGACGATCCCTACGGAATTAATCCAGGTTGGCGATATCGTCTGCCTCCGGCCAGGAGATAAAGTTCCAGCAGATGGTGTCGTCATTAGAGGTGAGAGCTATATAGACGAGGGTATGATTACCGGTGAGGCTATTCCCATCCGTAAAATAAAGACTTCAAAGGTCATGGCTGGCACTGTGAATGGCGCTGGCTGGGTTGATTTCCGGGTCACGAGAGCCGGTCGAGACACACAGCTGAGCCAAATAGTCAAATTGGTCCAAGATGCACAAACCAGTCGTGCTCCTATCCAAAGAATGGCTGACATAGTGGCTGGTTATTTTGTTCCAGCCATTATCACCCTTGGGCTCATCACTTTTTTTGGATGGATGATTCTTAGTCATATTCTTCCAAATCCACCTAAAATCTTCGTTACTGAAAATCCCGGCGGGACATTCATGGTCTGTTTGAAACTTTGCATATCGGTTATTGTTTTTGCTTGTCCCTGTGCCCTTGGTCTTAGTACACCCACAGCGGTTATGGTAGGCACAGGCGTTGGTGCTGAACATGGCATCCTGGTCAAAGGGGGAGCAGCCCTGGAAGCAGCAACCAAGATAACGCATGTTGTATTCGACAAAACGGGCACCTTAACGATGGGCAAAATGAGCGTATCGGGGACTAGAATGGACTCTACATGGACCTCCAATGATTGGCGGCGTCGCCAGTGGTGGTTGATCGTTGGGCTTGCTGAACTGACCAGTGAACACCCTATTGGCAAAGCCATTCTTGCAAAGGCCAGGTCAGAAGTCGGGGCATCAGATGAAAACCCTCTCGATGGCAGTGTAGCCGATTTCGAAGCGTTAGTCGGAAAGGGGATTTCGGCGATTGTTGAGCCCACTTCAAATGTCAACAACGTTCGTCATCATGTTCTTGTGGGCAGCGCACGCTTCCTTCGTTCCAGGGACATAAATGTACCTCAATCAGCTGAACCAGAGCCCGGTTCCTCTGAATTCGCGACCTCAATAGCTGTTCGGCCAAGAAAAGATAGCGAACATGTTGCCGGGTCCACTCTAATTCACGTTGCTATCGACGGCAAATATGCTGGTACTATCACTCTTCAAGATACGCTAAAACCAACGGCGGCAGCCGCCGTTGCTGCTCTCCACCGAATGGGTCTCACCACGTCCCTCATAACGGGCGATTCCCTTTCCACCGCCCTCGCCGTTGCATCTTCTGTAGGAATCCCGGCCTCGTCAGTCCATGCATCTGTCAGCCCTTCCGAAAAACAATCCGTCATCGCGTCCCTTCAAAAAACTCCCTCATCTATAGTTGCCATGGTGGGAGATGGCATCAACGACTCTCCCGCCTTGGCCACTGCATCTGTCGGCATCGCCCTCGCATCTGGCACAGACGTTGCCATCGAGGCAGCAGACATCGTCCTCATGCGGCCCGATGATCTCCTGTCCGTCCCCGCAAGCCTTTGTCTCTCCCGCTCGATCTTCCGCCGCATCAAACTAAATCTCCTCTGGGCCTGTATGTATAACGCCATTGGCATCCCTTTCGCCATGGGCCTCTTCCTCCCCTTTGGCGGAATTTCGTTACACCCAATGGCTGCAGGAGCCGCCATGGCTGCGTCAAGCGTCAGTGTCGTTGTCAGCAGTTTGCTCTTGAAATTTTGGAAGCGGCCTAGTTGGTTAGACTCCCAGAAGTTGGAACGTGAAGCTGAGCTGGGTCTAATTGGTACTAGCGGCCTGAGTCGTGGTGGGCGGGGATCGTGGTGGAAAAAGAGCCCTTTTACGTCCGATCAGACTCGTCGGGGTCGACGGACTTTTGCTTGGCTAGTTGCGCTTGGTTCAGACGCTGTGATGAGCCTTACTGGGAAGCGGAGAAATGGCACTGACGATGAAGGCTACGTTCCTTTGAGGCCTGTGGAGCCTGTTTCTGTATAGTGTGTTTCTTTTCTTTTGTTGGGTTCTATTCTCGTTCGCGAAACGTTTCGTTGTAAGTACCTTCTAAATCTTCTACTACCAGGTCCAGGCATTTTTGTTTGCTGTCATATTTTCTATTATACATTGCCTCAGATTTCTCCTTGCTTTTGTTCATGTGAGGCACTTTTCCCCTTGTGTTGGTTCGATTATTTTTACCAGCCTATGTTTTCCTTCCCTCTGCAAATACCCCTCGTCGTTTTCTACTTAACTTAGCCTTTTTTGGATTCTGTATCTTCTTTTCGTTTTTCTTTCATTCTTGCATCCATTGGCGGCTTAAAGTAAATTCATGAAAGAGATATTTTTGTTCAGTTATTGTCCATGGCTTCTATCTAATATTGTAAATAATCCGTGATTTCCTTGAGCACGCAACAACTATCATCTACGGGTAGCCAATTATCAGAACAAGTATCTAAGATACTGGCAAAAGAATGTAAGAGTAATGCAATTTTACATCTACGCGAGAATTTTCGGTTTCAATCTTGGTTAGTTATCTATTTCCAAGGTATTTTTGGATCTTATGAGTTCTACCACGAAAATGCTTACCATAAGAATGAAATATTTGAGATCCGTCCCCCTTCCCCAGAGAACGTATTCGGTGCTAGAAAAGAGAGAGAGTAAATTAAGGTAGAAATCCAGAAGATATTCAGAAGATATTGAATTTGTCTGTCCACATACACGGACAGATATTGTCTGATTGTCTGTCTGATAACATATGTATGTTGTGGGTGACGATTAAACCAGGGTTTTTTTTTTTTTTTTTTTTTTTTTTTTTTTTTTTTTTTGGAATCCAAGTGAAATAAAAACCAAGAATCGTGGACAAAGCTGAGTGATTCCGGGGCAGATAAAATAATAAGTCCTGACGTGATCATATAGAACGGAAAAATTTTCCAAAATAAAAAAAAAAAGAAATAAAGGATGTATATACCAAGCCGCTCAAAACTCCCCTGTCATACGGTACCTTAAAAAAAAAAAAGAAAGAAAGAAAGAAAGAAAGAAAGAAACGGCATTCTGAGATGAACGAGGAAGCCCTTAAAGGTTTATATCTGGATTGACGATATTCCCGGCCTAGCTGAACCACATTCAAATCGTGCTCGCTCGAAGCAAACGTCTTGAACTTCTCCCTTCCCCTCTCCATCATTCACTTGCCTTCTTTGGTGGCGGGGGGAAATACATGGTCGCCTGACTCTGAACTTCTGCTCCTGCGTTTCCATTCGGCGGTGGTGTTCCATTTGTTGTAGACCCACTCATCTGCGGTGGTGTGGGGCTCTGCGAAGGTGAAGGCATGCTGAAGTTTTTCAAATGGGAACCATTCGGCATATCAGGAGGAAGGAAATGGTTTCGTAGGGGCAGGTCTGTGGTTCCACCGAGACGGTTAAAGGCTTGGGTACGAGGCGTCATTGGCGGGAAACCAATGCCCCCGGGAGTCATGGGTGTGTGCATAGAGTAAGTGGGAGATTTCAGACTTTTTAGGTCTTCGAGTTCCTTACGCCGCTCGAGGCGCTGTCTTTGCTTTTCGCGGATCTCTACAGTGGGGAGGCAAGAATAGATAGCGTAGACGCTGTGGACGATGAAGATTGCGCTAAGAAAGAGGTCAGCGTTAGTGGGGATTACTCCTTCTTGTACTCTCTATGCTTGAAGTGAGGAGGACACCTCAACTCAGCAAACTCAGCGAGTGGCCAGTGACGTACAGCATTAACACAGTGCAAGCAAATGATGCCTTTGCTTGCCGGCAATAACCAACATTGGAACGACTCTTAGCGACGTTGCAATTCTTGGTGAGATACCATGGCGCGCCTGGTTGCGGGCGTTCGGGGTCGGACATGTCGGGAGACGCTTGATATGCGATTGAAATAGCATAAATAATGGTCAATCCTATGTGCACAAGTACGGAAAGTGGAGGATAAAAGACGTTCAAGATGAACATAGGTGCCTTGACGAGCATGAGAAACAAGCTCAACACCGATATAGTTAGGTTGAAGTTTGTAAGACTAAAATTTGACATGATTAGAACCACGATATTCTCAGCATGGATTAAATAGCTTACCCAATAATGGGTAAACTCAAAGGCTATTAGACATACAATTGACTCCAAGGCTTGGGTGTAGTGTATGGGCGATAGTTTGCAAGAGTGTAAATCTCGTCTTCCGGGCCGCTATTGAAACCATTCTGAGCGCCATCTTTCCACAGTCTTGTTCGATATAGATCTGGCGCTGCGATGCCGAACAAGGCGAGGATCGCAATGGTGATGGGGAGTTCGATCCCGAGTAAAATCTTGAATAGGATGGGTGGTCGATACTTCCGAGGTAGATACCACAGCATTATGACTCTTTAATATAGAGAATAAGTAGAAGAATAGGAAGAGTAGCGGTGGCGGCGATTGAGCGAAGGATTCAAAGGACGGCGCCCAGAGCAAATCCCAGATGTTAGGATTGATAGGGATTAATTATTTATGAGGTTTCCAGTATGGATGTGGAGTAGAATATAGTAGTAGACAAGTGTGTGTGTGTTATATCTTCAAGCCAGGCCCGCTGGCAGGAGTTTCATTTCAACTATTGTGTTCACCGGTAGTGGTGATGCATGAAGAAATCGAAAGGAGTACGGAAGAGGGAGAGAAGTGAGAAGGGAGATGGCAGGGTCGGACAGAAAAAGAAGGGAAAGGAACAGAGCACATTCTGTGTATTTAGGTACTCTTCTGCTCTGGAGGGCATGCAGAGCTGCTCGATCCAATCCCTCGTCGTTGTTAGAGGGATGGGGTCATGTTTTCTCGCCAAGGTATACCCGCAGCATCTAGGGACTGAACGGACGAATAATCAACTCCCCTGAACACCATCAAGAGGAATCAGATCAACCCACAAGGCCATGGCCGTGTGTCCGGCGAGGGAGACGAGAAGGTCAAGCTTGTGCTGAGCGACAAGCTGCCGCCGGACCCATGGTTGGGTGGGGAAAAGAGGCACCTGCACAACCATGCCCAGGGTGTTGCGGCGAAAGTAGAGCAGGCACTCAGCCTAGCGTTGGTGTGACGATTTGGCCCGATGGCCAATGGCAGACCAAATACTGGGATCTTACTGCATGCCATCACACGCTACCCAGAAGTGGCCAGCGCCCATGTAGCGCAAATCAGAGAGCCAGCCTGTGATTGACCAGTTGCAGAAATGGGTTTCAATGAAGGAGAATCAGTTGTTTGAATCATTGCATGGAGGTATCAGGGATTCAATATCTCATCACAAAGTCGCAGCTGGCGGCGCATACTTGAGTGTCGAGCGTAGGCTGGATGTTGCGTATTTGTTAGTATTCTTTGTTCGTTTGTCTCCGATGATAAAGAGGAGAATACAATGACCGATGCTTAGACTCTGCAGTCCCATGAACAACGGATACCCCCGCACCAAGATAATCCAACAAGTGCTCTGTCCTGGTGGAGTCAGCTCAACTCAAGAATCCTGAGCGGTGATAGTAATATCTTACGCTGGGTATGTTGGGACAATGATTACATACGAAAGTGGCAGCCATTGATGGCTTATCTGTCTTATCAAACCAGGAGAACCTCAACGTGCAAGCGATTGAAATATTTGTAGGATTAGGATCATAGCTTGAAGTCAACTCATCGATATCCATTCAGTATAGTTACACGTGACCTTCCGACTCACCCACTCGTTCCAAGTGTCCATTGCATTCCCGGGGAGATTGACATTATCGCAGTACTGATATGAAACACTGGTTTGTATCCTCCTTTTTAAATCTGTCAAGCCAGTCTCTCCAAACCCAATGTATGACGTTTCGGTCGTATACCTGCGACAGTTTGGGACATGTCCACCAGCATTCCACATGAGCTACGTACGGCGCAAGAACCACGCCAGGATATGCTCTATAGAGTCCGTCTATCAAGCATAACACAGGTGAATCCTACTATCCGCATCTTGCGGTTGGACGTAGGACGAGGTCCGACTTACTACCATAAAGATCAGAAGAATGAATGCGAAGTATGCTTGAACCCCACCCTGCCAACTGTACTGGTAGATTTTGATAAAACCATTTTTAATGTATAAGATGTGTTTCAAACCACCAAAATTACCTCTATTAAATATTAAATGAAAGAAACCTTCCAACTATACAGTCCAATCAAAACCAATCAAAACCATTCCACTTCCTGGCCGGCCAATGGCTCGATGTCCATGTCCCCTCCGTCCCGCAAGCCGGTGGCTTCACGATAACCTCCACCCCAAGCGATGCATTGCCACTGAAAAATGATAGCAATAGCAACGAAACGACAGAATTTCCATACATAGAACTTGCTGTCCAAGAATCGCCATCAAACCCACCGGCTGCCTGGCTCTGGCGGCCTAAGGATGAGATTCTTGGACAGGAGCTCGCAGTAAGGGTTGGGGGCAGTTTTATCTGGCCACCCCCTGATATTCCGCTGGAAGATATTGGGAGAGTGGTGTTTGTGGCGGGTGGAGTTGGGATTAAGTACGTATGAAAATTTTGCGGCTTTAATAAAATGCATGCGTTACCCCAGTCAGGAGTGAAATAATCTCCAAAATGACCCTGACCCTCTCCAAATCAACCTCTTTCCAATCCATATCATATTCGAAAAGCCGGAGGGGGTTTGGGAATGACAATGAACAAAGCATGTCAACGTACAAAAAAAGATCATAGATACCTTTTGGCTAACCATCCTCGTATAGCCCATTAATCTCAATGATATCACATATCTTCAAAGACCCCTCGAAGTTACCGCACTCACCATCCATTCATTTACTTTACTCGACCAGATCCCCAACCCAACCCGGGCCTGGTGGTGACATATCAAAACACCTAGACCAAGTCCTCTTCTTTCCCCGGCTTCGCAACATTCTCCATTCTCAACAGTCACAGTCACAGCCACATCCACATCCACAGCACCGGCGCCAGCATCAACAAGACGACCGGTTCCTCCGCCTTCAGTTCCATCTCTATATCACAAATCTCCACGAAATGCCCCGCAATCCGCCAGCCGATTTCTCGTTGTACAAGCGTCGCATCAAGACGACTGATCTGCATGAGGTCATTGGTGGAAAAAGAGAGGCCATTCGAAACGCGTACCGCTCAAAAGGCCGTCGAACGGTGTGTTATATCTGCGGACCACCTGATATGACGGATGAGCTGGTTGCAGGTGCAGAAGAGGTCCTTGGGGCTGGGGTCGGGAAGGAGAGGAGCGTGTTTTATGAAAAGTGGTGGTGAATTGTTTTGTGGGAGGAGAGGAGAAGCATTGATTTCTCTTCCTCCCCATGTATTTTCAAGTTGTGGGGTAATATCATGGATGTTTCGTCTGCATAGGCGAAATGAGATATTAGCAGACCCTTTGATAGGGACCTTAATAATGGTAATATTTCTTCGGCGAATTTATTGCTTCAATAAAGCAAGCTAGGCATGTAACGAAACTCGATGATGGGAATGCCAATAAGAAAAAGTGGAGTGAGGGACATTGGGTCCGCGTGAAGTTCTTCAGGCCTTGCATAGTTTTGAAAGATTATACCCAAAACCAATGAATGATACTTTGTTTCCCCACGAAAAAGAGAAATTTCCCAAAAACCAAAACCAAAAAATATGGAATATAACTGAAAGTGCCCAAGCAATTTCAACATCGGTGGACCCGCTCGGAAGGAAAACCTGAGTAAAAAACAATAAATACCTAAACGGTTAGAGAAGTAGATGTGATATTGGCCAAGCAGGAAAAAAACCCCAGAGTAAAGCAAATACGAAACAATTGGGATATAAACACATATGGATGGGGTAGGATATAAAAGCGTATTATTATCTCCCAGCAAAAACGAACACAACAAATTGTGTTAAAGAAATTATAAAAAGAACAAAATGAAAATGAAAAGAAAATGAAGATGAAAATGAAAGACCTGAAACCTCAAAATCCCAACGCCTCCGGTTTTTTTACACATGCCGCGCCTTTTTTATTTTGTAAATTATAATGTGAAACATAATAAAACGAATAAAGAAGGGGATGAAAAGTCAGTATCTAATCGGACTGGACCACTTTACCACCGTCCACAATCATCATCTCGTTGATTTTTGATGCCGTGTCGCCATACTCAAGCCGCTTATAGGTCATTATTCTCGCGGAGTTCATATTGATATCGAAGAATCGGACTCGTCGGATGTAGCCACCGTATCCACCATAGCCACCAAAGCCGGCGCCACCGGCGTAGCACATCCACAGTGACGGCTGTGAATATTCATTCCGTGATAGCATACAGTAGTCATTTACATGATCGCTAAAGGAGAGGATAAAACAAGTTAGGGCGAAGATCGGTTATAAATTGAACAAAACAAAGAGCTAACTCATGGTTGATGACGGTGGATGACTTACTGGGCCACAGCTTACAACGACAACATTCTCGCTAACGAGGGCATCTCTAAAGCCCGAATTAAATCTTGGAGCTGTTGACGGTTCCGTCCAATTACCATAGAAGGCGCTGTTTCTGTCTCTGTATTCTGGAAGTGGAATGTGAATGAACGCTAAGTTCATATGGATATAGCGGTATTCGCGGTGGGATTTCTGAAGTCTCTCTGAGCTAGACTTGAACCATTCGATTTGGCTAGGTTTTATCCAATCGTACCCACGGTATCTGCGCTCATCCGGAGAGTAACTGTGCGTATCGAGAAGATAAAGGCTTAACGCGGAGTGAGATGAAGTATGGTCAAGAACTTCGACAATATAGTTGCCCACGCCATCGACATCGACTGGGCCAGGCTCTGATAAAGAGTACGGTAATTGTTGCAGGAGGGCCATAGACTGTGATCGATCAAGATTGCCCTCATCATCATGGTTTCCGAAGATAGCGGCATACGGAATACGACGCTTAACAAAAATATCAGCGAGTTTGAATATCGCAGTTGCCGCATCTGGTGCAGTATCGCCGTTGACTTGGTCACCGGATATAATGACCAAGTCAGGTTTCTCTTCGTCGAGCATTCTTTCAAGGAATTCCAGGGTGCGAGGGTCCGCTTCACATTTGCTCTCATCTTTCAAATGCGGGATTGGCTCCCGGCATTTTCCCAAGCCTGTACTCAAATGCAGGTCCGACGCCTGCATTATCTTGAATCTCCCATCTTTTCGAATTCTCGGAGGCGGCCGTTCAAGCTTGGCAGGTGGACCTCGTCTGACAGACAAACGCGCTTCACTTTTAGTATCCAGCAAGAGAGGCGTATCTTTCACTTCCCAGCCCGTTCGGGGATCCGCAGCATCGGCACCGAAAAGGACATCCAATGAGGTAATAACCTTCTGCGGGTCCCCTGTATGACTTCGGTCTGTTCTCAAGAGCCAAATACCCGCCGGCCTTGCTTCCCACTTCTTATCCGTACCGGCACCAGGATCAACTCTGCCAATTTTTAGGTCAATAACAACCGAATCTGTCGGAAGAAGATCCTCCTCTTTTTTTCTTTGTATGTGCATATATGCGCTCGACGTCCAGCTGGTCCCCAGGTATAAGTCCTTCTCGATGCGATGCCATACCTCCGGGTCGAGCGTACAACTTGAGAAAATGTTGAGGGAAGAGCAAGTCGTGACAGTCACATCAGTAACAACAAGTCCCGGGTGATGGGCAGGCAAATGGTCATGGATTGCAGCGGGCAAGAATTCTAACTTGTAGTCGAAGATAAAGAGCAGAAGGAGAACAATCAACGCAAGTAAGCCTAGCTGAATCCCGGTTCGAACCTGGTCAAAAGATTGTCAGTGCACAACACCTCTTATTTCTTGTACGAAAAATAGACGCCAGCAACTTACAATGCGACGTGTCACCATGGTTTTTGCCAGCTAAATCAAATCAGCCCGCAAAATCATAGGGGAGAGGGTGCTGTCTATCCGTGAGCATGGTGCACTATGGTATATACCCCGGCGTTTTCGTTAGCGGCTTACCCTAATACTTTAGTGGGATGAATTTCACTGAATGAGTAATATATTATTAATACATGACACTCTGTGTTGTATCATCCATCTCACAACAACATAAGGTTATTTTCTATCATAAAAGGTAGAGATGAGATATATACTATATACACTGTATAGATTTTCAATTTTCAGCACCTCAAAAATTCAATTCTGGATCATCAAGAACCCGTGTAAATTGAAACGCGCACAAAACCACGACGACCCCCAATATAAAATGTTAGTTCATCACGGGGCCGTATTTACCATTATCCGTTCCCTCCTGGACCGGAAGGGCATCTTTTTTTTTTCTGGGAGCTTCAAGCAGCTAGAGACTCCGCGTAGAGTCATTCGGCTTTATATCTTTTCTCCCGTGATTATAATTTTATAGATTACAGCTGACTGGGATCCCAGGAGAAAAAGCTCTCCAAACGTTCTAACTTGGAATGGCAAGACTGGTT